GTCATGGCCCAAAATACAAGTGTGTTACTCCAAAGCACTTATTCAAGATTTAAACCACTTTTGCAAATGAGTCTTGTGATTTCAAAGATAACCAACAATCACATCCTAATGCTTGAAACAGTTCTTTGTTTAAAATTTTTGCAAGTCTGATATGTCTTTTGTCACATGAAGATCACAGAAAAGTTTTTACATACCTCCACCTTCCCTTTGAGGTTTGAGAACATATTTGAATGGATTCTCCATTGCCATGGCAACAGCGGCATCACCCTCAGCATCCTGGAGATTACAAGGGTGTCAGTAATCTATGACGTTTTTTTTTCAGTCAACTACCTTCAAAATTATCATCATGATAGTAATCTTTTAATTGAATGTGTAAATACAGTAATGACCCAATCTTCTCCATGGGGAAAATTGTGAATTTTACAAATACTCTCTCTCTCTCTCTTACCCTTTCCAGGGAGTACATGCCAGCAAAAGTTGCTCTAATTCTCTTCACAGCCTCAGAGTCCTGTATAAACCGTTCCACCACTCCCGGCCTGCCAAGCTCTTGTTGTACCTTTTTAGCACCTGCCAGATGATAGTAGATGTTGGGACACTTGATGGCAGTGGACCTTTCTATCCTTAGCCTGGTTGTCCAGTCCTAGAATGGAGTTTGGTAATTATCATTGGCTGTAAGTATTATCATACAAAGGGACATAAAAATTGTGGTATCTGTGAAGGACTGGGAATAAGCATAAGTTTACTCTGCATATTTTGGTAGTCTACAATGAGAGTCATACATTTTCAATTAGACTTATGCTCTAAAAACAAATAAGATTGATAACTTCATAATATACTACATTTCCCAAGATTACAACCCCCAAGACTGCAGACTTGACTTTTTTAAGTGAACATGTACCAGTAATACACTAAAATTCTAGCATTTGCACTGAACTCTTGAAAGATAAATTCTTAATGGACTTTTACCGTATTAAATAACACCGGTCTTATCAAAACCCTTTATAAATGAATTACAAGCACCCATCACCTGCTTCGTCTACCTACCTCCTCTGTGATGTAGTCATTCGGGGAGTATCCACATCTGAAGTAGACTACAGCAACTTCATGACCTTCACTGAAATACAGGACACGAGCTGATGAAGTCTGCATGTTTTTAATTCATTCTTTTCAGGTATGTAACTTTTCAGTCCAAATTCTGAATAAAAATACATTTTCAGCTCCGAGGTAAAAAGGTGCTTGGTTTCTTGTGCAGTAATGGGGCTTTTCAAAAGTGAAAACCAAATGTTTTTCTTTGATGTATTCATCACCATTTAAGCAGAGGAATAGATGTCTGTTACCAGGGGGTTGTATTGTTTGACAATAAAATAACTTAAGTTATATCCTGCCTTCTAACTTCAACCATCTTTTCGAGAGTTGTGTATCATAAAAACAACATTCAAATTCAATTTCTCTAAAGGTCATAACTAAATTACCTAACTTGATTTCAAGGGATAACTTACAGTATTAACTTGTTATCCTCAGTGAGCTGCGACTTTCTGTAAACTTGATCAAAACTCCTCCTGAGGACCTTCACCTTGCTGTTGATTTCATATATTCCCCACTCCAGCCAGCGCTGGTCAAATATGTTTCTCGATACTGTCTCCGTCAAAAACAATATCACCGCTCTGCAATTCAAGGAAATATTGTAAAATTATGCTGCTTTTATAATAAATGTCAATAAAAACTCCACAAATCATGCACATGGGCACGCACACAGTAACCCAAGGCCATACATACATACATACATATATACATATATAGGTAAAGTTAATCTCATACACCAAGCTGCCTTTTCAGCTGACTTAATTAACAAGAAAACTTATGAACACTGAATGACTTACTCTGTGTTGCCATACAGTTTCCAAGCCTGGACCATACCACCAGCTATTCCTGGCACACATGTATTAGCAGGTAGCTGAAATAAGAGAAAAAGTTCACCAATTTGGGGTTTGAAGATATGACAGATTTTTTCAATGTTGGCTGTGACACCTGGTAAATGTCAATGTGTAAGGCTATTGTGTCACTGTGGAAGGTGTGTCAGTGTCAGAGAAGTCTGATTTATGTGATATATATATAATTTTTTTTTTTTTGGGGGGGGAGGAAGGGATTGTCCTTATACTGCTCTACAGTATGTTTGTTAGCAGGCTATGAATGTGGCATCCAAACACATACCTTGATGACCTTGTCTGCCAGACCACATCTTTCAAGTATAAACCTAAAATAAAAAAGCATTTCATCATGTATTGTAACTCAACAGTTTTGTCATAGATTCGCTTACATTTCATTGTCACCAACAGTTTGTACATGTACTATTACTTTATATAGAATATCAGCATAAGCCCAAATATCAAACAATTATATCGAAAGGCATGTATTTCTCCCATTCTATAGCAACGTTGGTATGGGATCACTTCATTAATTTTGATTTCTTTTCTTAACATTGGTGAGAGCCAAGTTGAAATGACTCTTATGTTAGGTGTGGAACAGAGGCAAAATATTTCAGATTGCTGAAAATTTAATGAAACTACGTATCTGACAACACAATCCTTACAGAACCAAAATTCATTCTCATTTTCACCTGATTAAAGCTAAGTATTGCCTCTACCTGTGGAAAAGCCCCACTTGAGTTTCTAGACCAGCAAAACTTGAAGCTATAGTGTTAAACTCAATCTCTTTGATCCCCAGGGTGTTCACATCTTCCGGGGTGGAGAGGGTGCGCCCCTGAGAGTCAGTCATAAAATCATTTCTGTTGATAGCAAGACTCACTGGCTGAAATATATAAGGTGACAGTTAATGGGGGCATTTTTTTCTTAAATTCCATGTTAAAAGATTTTAAGAAGCACATTTTTGATATGAATGAAACATATATTCATTCACATGTTGACCTTTTATTATAAAGAAACATTTAAAAACAAGCAAACTGTCATTATTACTTAACTGTGATTTTATAATTGAGTTATTTTACTGTTATTTTCATGAAAGTAAAAATCAATCAAAATTATTCCAATTTACAAATCTGACAAGATTTCTAATTTTAAACCACTTCTAGTGAATACTGCTTTCCACCATGCTGGGTCACATATTGAAAGGCTATGGATAAAAATACATTTCAGAATGAGGAAAGCGTGTATATACACTGGGGTAGTGTAATTAAAGGTATATATAACTTTTCTTGGTGCTTTGTTACCTGTTTAATTCCCTCCTTTCTCACTGTCTCATAAATGTCCCACAATCTCTTGGTGAAATCATCCACTTTAATTGCACTGGAAAAAATTAACCAAATTCTTCTCAGTCTATTTGCATGTGAAGAAAATAAATGGAAAACTTAAACCATATGACTAAACTATCAACAATAAAAGGAATCAATGTTCAGAAAGGGATGATTTTGCTGGAGAAAAATAAACAGCATACTCTGAGAAACTTTCAAAGAAGCTGAAGTTAATTTTGAATACCAATTTTAGCATGAGAGTTGAAGAGCAGCTAAACTCTTCTCTTACCTCTGGAGAGTTGACTGCAGAAAGTCATGGTCGTGTGCTACTCGGTGATAGAGAAGATTAAAGTCTTGCTGCACTGCGCATGCTTGGTGAAAAAGTCGCTCTGGGAATGGTGAAGGCAGAAGCAGAAAAGGGGCGTAATTAGTTACTTCTGATGACGTTGGTCTGTCTGCAGTGCGCATAGTGATTCCTAAAAATAATACATACTATAATGATAATAATAACAGTAATTGTTGGTAAAGCTATAACATATAGATCTAATCTGGGCATGGACAAAGCACCTGTGAAGCCTGGGCACTTTCTCTCTGGTGAGTATTTGGACTGACCAACATACCCATCATGTCCCATTCTTAAACTAAATAAGTAATATTTAAATCAAAATCAATTATGTGTGTGCTATAAGAGGTAAGGCATTTATAACCCAAACTTGAATATCTGAGAAATTAAAAGAAATTAGTTTTGTACCCTGTTGACAGTTAATCAGGCAGAGTATTTTTTGACGGTCCCTTTTTTAATTCTCTGACTCATTGGGTTAATGACAATAGTCCGAGGCATTCAATAGTCCAAAAATTCATAGCTTTGAATGTTCACTATAGAAACTTCATACCAACTTACCCTTTTCTTATACAACTGATAAATATGTTCTCATTTTTTAAAACCTTTTTTGGACCACGTAACCTTCAGACTATCAAAGCGCACCTGACTCAACAACTCACCGTGAGTGAGGGCCCAGTCTTTTGCCATGGAAACCAGCTCCTGCAACTCGTCCTCTTTCACGGGCAGTGGTATACATGGTTCCATCCTGAAATTACAGAAAATCCGAGTTAACCATCAAGTTTTGAATTGGGTCATTCCTGACACATAAAATACTGAAAAGAACAGAAATCTTGTATTAAGCAGACTTAATACTGGAATCTCACATCCAAGTTAAAGGGGCAATTATATATTGAATTTTGTATGAGAAATACATTGAACATGCTATGAATTTTTGCGACTAACTCAACAGTATCTATAGTGGTTCACAACCAACAGACTATCCAGTTAAAAAAATATAATAATACCACTTGAATCTTTTTGAAGCTATATTAAACTTTTTCATATCTCGTTCATGAGTTAATTACATGTACTGTCCATGCAGCACGTATATACCGGTTGTACATACATTGTATCAGAGACCGTAAATAGAATGTTAACGCGTGCCATCCAGCAAAAGGCGACGAAGCAACCTTGATTTTTCAAGGTCGACCAAACTTTAAAGTTGACCGAGCTTTACCTTTTCACCCGCTCCCCTGATTTAGTGAATTATAGTCTCTGTCCAAACGTCAAAAAACATGAATTATGCTTATCAATATAACTTATGTCAGAATAAAGGGCACTCACTTTTAGCCTTCAGCTGGATTCAACTTTAAATCTGCAAAATTGGAAAGCCAAAAAAAATTAGCAGAATAACAATACTTAAAAGTGCTAGGTCATTCTGAATTTCACAAGAGGCAACTACACTAGTAATCCTAACAAGCTCCTTTGCCTACTTGTTATGCGCATGCGCCATGCCTTAAGAGTGTGACGTCATTTGGGAATTCCCTAGCCGACTGCACTCGTAGGGAAACCGAACTTGCTACATTGGTTAGCATTTTTATTTTTCAATACTGACTGATTTTAAATTATTCATTACCTTGACATTTGATATGGGTATTTTCAATATTTTTGAAACACGAAACATTTACGAAAAACTCATTTGTTTGACCTGATTTCTTTCACAAACTGATTCATACTGACGACGTGAAGGGGCGTGTGCTTTTATCTTTAAAACGTCAAGCTTATTAAAAGCTCTACTTCTATGTTAAAAGGTACAAGAAACATTTTTGTATTATTAAATTCAATGGAGACATTTGCTATTTTCCTTGGGAAAATATTTGATTTGGCGCAACACCCCGTGTGGGATACTTTTAATTTTGAAATGAACCTTTCTGTCCCCCCCCCCCCCAAAAAAAAAAAAAAAAAATAAAAAAAAAAAGATATAAAATCTGAATCGCTGTTAGGGAGTATAAATTTCTATACATAGAATCTTTTACTCTCACCACAGCATGCCACCTAGCTTAGTCCAATAGATCAGGTAGACATTTACATACCACACTTTTCCAAAAACACAGGTGAAATGCCACAGAGCTATAGCCCATACACGTATCTTGAATTTTGACTCTCTTGCAAAGAAAAAGAAGAGAAATTTGAAAACAAAGGCTTAAAATATAAACCAATATTTTTTTTTATTCCACAGGGTAGGCACCCAAACTCAGTTCAAAGTTCAGAGAATAAATAACGTCCTTTGCATTCAAGGACCTTCTTAATCACAAAGAATTAGTGTCAGCATCACCTGCAAGATAGAATATTATTTTTGTAACACAAAAAATGTTCTTCATTTTAGTTTTATTTTGGTTAAGTGTCACATTTGCCAGTTTTTCTTTCTTCTTATCTTTTAAGGTAACTAAAAGAAAAATCTAAATACTCCCCTCCATACTTAAAGGGCATGGCACGAGCATTCATATATGCCTTTTTATTGCTATTTTAATTCATTTTGTGAAAACACATATGTACTTTGTGTGATACAGAAAAGTGATACAGAAAAGTTACCTTAAAAATCCATCCATCTTATCTATTTAAGTATGGATTCTAATTAGTGCTGGTTCATTATAACCATGTCATCTCAGCAAAGACAATCTTAAATCTTCTCTTTAAAATCATTTAACAGTTTAATTCCATTTTTCCTGACACAACTTTGATAATCAGCATGTTAGAATATAACATTTGGTGAGTAAGCCTTGAATATCAACCATGTGGTCTTTTAAAAATCTGTATACAACTGAGGGTGCATGGCAGTTCAATTGCAGATCTGGTGTATTCCACATATATATTTCTATTTAAATACCCCACCCCTCATGAGCACACCTTTTTCTTTCCGTTGTTAACACATATAAGAAAGAGGTATTCAGGCATTTATATTCCATGTACAGGTAATCGCCTTCGGTCAAGTCTACGTGTCAAGGATGCTAGTCTTTTGCTCCTTCTGGGACAGCGTTCATCATCATCATCACTCGCATTCTCATCACTATCTGAATCAATGTCATGTGGCATATTCTTCATACCATTATATGTCCACTTGCCCAAAGAGCCGTCCCACTGTAAATGAGAAATAATGAGTATCATATCAATTCATTAACTGACCACTTGTAAACGGTGGATTCAGAAACAATTTTGTTGCAAACATGTATTATGTTACAGGGGCAGATTCAGGATTATTTTGAAGGGGGGGGGGGGTGCGCGGATGCAAAGCCTTGATAGATAAATAAATAAATAAATAAAGGCAGTGATAAATAAGCTGCTTAATTCCATAAACTTCAAGGCAGTGATAAATAATCTGATAAATTCCATAATCAATATGGCAGTCATAACCAAGATGGCTACTGTTCATACTTACAGATGTGCTGATAATTGTGTGCTCATACGGGTGCCAAGACACATCTCTTACACAGCCACGGTGACCGTCCAATCTGCTGACCACCTTACCAGTGAGGACATCATACACTGAAAGGGAAACACAAGACTTAAATTGAAGTATGTTCTAAGTGAAATATAAAAAAGAGCTCTCATAAATGAGCGAAAGGAAAATAAATTGCATTATAATGATGAAAAAATCATTCAGACATTCTTAACTATGAACATAAGAATGTTGAATTGAACTTTGCTCCCTTATAATTAAAATTATTTATTAATCAATTTGTCTTCTGCAATTAATGTCTGTACAATCACAAAAATACAAAATGCTGTAAACTTGATGATGATCTACAACTTCATACCAGACACCTGTCAACAACTTCCATCTTGTTTCTTATGCTAAAGCACACATCAATCAGTGGATCAACCTGAGTACATACCGACCACACCCCCACTGGCACAGCCTGTGTAGATATAGCGCTGGCCTGTTGTATAGGCTGGAGAGAACCGAGCACGAATCAGGGAATGCAGCACGCTATGGCCGCGGTATGTCATCAGAGAGCTGTCTCCCTCCACGTGCTTGACTTTTTTCACTAAAAGAGAAGTGTAGAATAAGGTAATACAACAGATGAATGGTTGCACTCGGTGATATTTGACTGAATGAGAGTAAAGAAAATTGGACATCTTAAAAATTTGTATGCATTTTTTATGACAAGATTTGATTTTCCATGAATGCCATTAAGCAAATGACCATTGGTTGTTACAGTTCAATGGCTTTCAGCAGTCTGATACGCAGAGAAACAATAATTCAAGCACAACAATGATGTACATTCTCGCTGAGTTAATGAAAAGCACTGCCTTGAGAATATTACTTTTCAGTTTTTTAAGGCAACAACAGCACGTTTTTTGTGTTAAACCTTTTAAAAAATTCATAAAAATCTTATCGCCTGGTAGGACTGACAGTTCCAGCATGTCTGCCACATATCACTTCACTGTGAGTTCAGTCCATATTTTATATCTAAAACCTATTATTTATACATACAAGCTTTCCCATGCTTTGTCACATGATATGTTATGTTGTACACTCAGGTGTGGCATGGGAAAAACAAATATAAACAGTGCTCATCTACTACAACTTTCTCTTAAGCTCACTTTACACTTGATGGTGCCCTTTCTGCATCCTGAAGTACAGCCCCGTATGAGAGCAAAAAAAAACTTTATGTGCCAACAACTGCCCGATCACTGAGCATTCATTTTGCAACCGAAACGATGCTTGTGCCTCCTTTCTACGACCACAGCAATGCCAGGTTCATGGTCGCACAAAGGGGATGCAGAAAGGACACTGTTCAGTGTAAAGGGGGTTTTACCTCGCGCTGGCACAGGAGGCCACCTGTAGTCCCAGTTCTGCCTGGCAACAGCACGCTTGGTGCCCTGTAAAAGGTGTCAAAAACATTTAGTGAGCAAATTACTCTTGTCATTTCATACAAGACAATTGGTCAAGTTTCATACTGATTTCAATAAAATAAGATTACCACCACAATTTTAAGATTTTCACCACTTCTGTTTTGAGAACTTCTCATTTTGCACACATGTAACAAGTTGAAAAACCTTTTCAGTTAAATTTCATAGCATGTCAGACTTCCTGTATTTCGCTATGTGGCCATTAAATGAAGAAAACTGTAAGCTTTGAGATTGAAGATTGAAGTTATTGTTGTATATGAAAAGAATGCTTTTTCTTTTTTGTTTTATGTTTTGAAACTAGATTTTAGTTGTTAGAAATAAGTAGGAAGAAATAGTGGAAAATTGCCAAAAACACAATCTGATGTCCTGTCTGTGTTTTGCTTTATATTGTGTAGTAAGTAAAACAATTTCAGTTTACCCTAATTGCATCATCAGAAGAGAACTTCCTCATGTCCCATAGCTTGATTGACTGGTCTTTAGAGTTTGATAAGAGATATCTGGAGTCATTCTAGTAAAATAAAGAACAAGGTTCTCAAGCAGATGCATTTCAAATCAATAATTCAATGAAACATTGCATGATACCTATTATAAATACAAGGAGATATCTTTCATGTTATATTCAAATTGTCTTTAAAGATAGCAAGTACAAGCAAAGATTTTCACTCAATATTATTACTTATCTAATATTTTAGTGTCATCATTACCATTAAAGATATCTGAAATATTGCAGAGAAAATAAATTTTACTTTATCTATTGTTGGAAGAAACAGTTATTGTAAATTTAAGCAAATTCCATATTTTGTCCTAGTTTTACTTACTTTGGAGTCTATAAATGTGATTCCGTCTGAGTGTCCCGCCAGAGTTCCCACAGGTACAGGGGTCGCCTCACTTAATGTCCGTCTGTCCCACACCTTGAGGAATCAAGATCCATTAAATATATTAACACATATACCCCCAAGGGAGGCGATATCCTTTTAGGATTGAACAGATCCCAAAAGAGACCAAACGTAAATTGTAATTTGGGCTGATCTCATTTATTGTAGATATATTGTGGATATTGACTATAAACTTAAACTTTAAATTTTTTATCTTCACATTATGTATCAATGAGATATTTATATCACATAATAAATAAATCATTTTAGTATTATGAATATTAATATAAACAACAAAATATTCCAACGATCTTTAAATAGTTTATCTCTAGGATGTACAATTTTCTCAATCACCTTAAGCACCCTCTTATTTGGCTGGGGAAAAGAAAAACATTTTTTGTGTGATCTGATGCTAGATATGACTGAAAGCTTTATTTGGATATTAGCTTTCAAAGATTTCTCAAACTCAAAATTTTTCTAGCCTTAGTAAGTAGTTTGTGTGTGTTTATTTTATACTATAATTTGCATCATTGTGTTTTTAGCAATTGTTATTGTTTTTCAGTATCTTTCTGTCAAAAAATGAAAATAAAATAAATAAATAAATAAATAAATAAATAAATAAATAAATAAATAAATAAAATGTAAATAGATCTATCAGGCCTTAGCACCCACCTTAACTAGTCCATCATCTCCCCCGCTGAATAAGATATGTGACGATGTATCAGCAAAGGCAACAGAGTTTACATCATCTTCATGAGCCGTAATCTAGGAACAAAGATAACATGATTAAATCCAAAAATAATGTCTCACTAAAAAGACAAAAGATAATGGTAATTTGCAGTAAGATTTACAAAAGAGTGCATGCAAGACTGACTGAATGAAATTAGTCTTACACCAAACAGATGTATGTGCATAAAAAACTACAACATTTTTATTCAAAGACTTTTAATATTATATAACTTTTGGGTTCATTAAATAACCATGACAAGCCGTTTCTATATCTCAAAATTTCTGTGACTTGTAGGTCCAAAGTCTGACATCTTTTTTTTTGTCTAGCTGTAAGACTCTTCCTGTGATGATGCCTTTTACTTACCTTTAAACATCGTTGGTTGCTCTCTCGATCATAAACATACAGACCACCATCATTAGAACTGAAAGTAAAACATCATTTAGTATAAATATACTGTCATCCAATACCTTAAACATGTATTCTGCAAGGTGGAAGTATTCTCCTGTAAGTCTAGCTTTACTAGTCTACTATATACAAATAACACAAAATATTGCTTCCTAAATCAAACTCAGGTACCTTCAGCATTTTTTTCCTTTTTTTTTTCAGGTGCACCATTTTTACCAATTTTCTGTTTAATATTTCACTCAGCAAAGCTGAACTAACTTTACCACAAGTTAATATTTCATATTTTTCTTGTTGACAATTACGGACAAAGGCAGTCCTAGATTTGTCTAATCATGAGTTTACCTACCCAGCTAAGATTTCCTTGTTGTCTGCAGAGAAAACAATAGAGAAAGCACAAAAACTATGGCCAGCATCTGGGAACAAGTGTAAGGCTTCATGGACTTCATGCTCTCCATGAATGTTGCATAGATGGACTGAAAAATAAATGAAATTTTTTAACCTACAAAAAAGTCCAACAAACGAACAAAGTACAGAAGATCATCAATATCGGTATGACCCAGTATTTTGCCCTGCAAGGGATCAAACAACCATTTTAACTATTTAAAAGTAGTTTGGAAATGTGCTACAGCCTCATTAGTATCAATCGTAACAAACAAACTGAAGATGAAAACATGCTGTCTATTGAATTAAGCTATTATCCTTATTTCCTTTCAGTGCTCCTACTTACTGCAGTCAGACCAGCTTGAATATATCAGGTAATTCCCATCAGGGCTGAAAAAAAAATAGGACATTTTCAAATAATTATTTTTATTTACAAATGATTATTGTTATTATTTACAAATAATGATTTTCATTTACAAAAACTGATGTTATGACAATCTCTAAGTCAACTCTAAGTTATTATAAACAAGCAAATATATCCATTTGGCTTTCAAAAAATGTATTTTAATAAAAATAAAAAATGAAAATATATTGATGAACAATATGAAAAACAACAAAAGTAAAATCAATTCATGCCCCCCCCCAACACACACACACACATGCATGCATACATGCACGCATGCACGCACACACACACGTACCTAAAAGCTGTATCCACCACACTCCAGCCCACATCTCTGGCCCTGACTGACTTCATGAGAGTAAACTTGCCCCAGGATGTGTCAAATATTCTTATATTCTGATCTGGAATGTAGGAGAGGGCACAGTCAATATCAGTAAGTTTTAGGTAACCTGTGGCCACCCTGAGTTTAAGAGCTCCATGGAAACTCAAGAGGGATGTCCACAGAAGAGATGAGATATCAGTGACCTGTGAAACTCAGGGTAGCTGCTGATGACTGTGTGTTGTAGTTATAATGCATGGCTTGAATACACAACAGTTATGAGTGCTATGAACTCATTTTTTTTTGTTTTACCCACATAACAGTACTTCTACAATAGCAATGGCAAACTGGCAAAAATGATCAAATTTTATTCACTGAATTGTTTGGTTTCTAGATAAGAATATCACCTAATTTAAAAGTAACGATTACCTTTGAACAGAATCTCAAATGTTTCCAAAACTATCAGAAATAAGTTTATATATTGTCATACAGTAGTCATTCTCAAATCATTTCATTAAAGCTCTCTATATTGTAACAGATTATCTTTTCTTCAACTGTTATTTCTACCTTGACAGGCTGAGAGGAATATGTCTCCATCCTGAGAGTAGGTGCCACAGAAAACTTTGCTATGGAACTGAGCAACTGTGTCCTTGTGGTTGGGAAGATATCTGAAGACAAGGGAGGCATGGTTTATACATATGTCCAGTTATACATATTGATACGTTATAAATATTTTAGTACATTTCCTTGTGGTTGGGAAGATATCTGAAGACAAGGGAGGCATGGTTTATACATCTATCCAGTTATACATATTGATACGTTATTAATGTTTTAGTAAATTTCCCTCTGGTGGGGAGATATCCGAATAAAAAGGTGTACTTAATATATATCCAATTTTATATATATATATATATATATATATATATATATATATATAAAATCAAGTATGAGAACAAATCAGACCTTTCTCACCATTTTATCAAAAAAATGCCCTACGGCCGTTTCGGCCCTGAGGCCTTGTCAGGGGCGAAAACAATATATATAATCAATGTTTTCATATGTTTCATCACTTGTATCATATGTGGGTTTGTGGCAAGTAATTTCAAGATTTCTTCTATCAGCTATATAGACATGATTTTGTACACATTTGAAGTAACCTCAAGATATCAGTGGGCTAGAAAAATACATAATTTGTGAACAGAGAGAGTTGTAAAAACATTTCTATTCATATAAAAATGGATAAATTAATTCCACTTATAATTATTTATGCAAATAATAAGGAGAGTTTCACTATCACTATCACAAAATGCAAGTTAATAATGGTGCTGCTATTTTAATTTTAATACATACTTTGACATAGCCACACAACAGTCTGCCCTAGTGAAACTCTTGCTTCCGTTCATTAATCCTATTTCACGCTGAAACAAGCAATCATTGCCTCATTACTAGTAATTTTCATTAAAATATTTTATCAGAGTATTTGTGTTATATAAAACATTTCTGATGTCAGGTAAGTACATGCATATGTGCACTTGTTCACTCTCAGAGAATAATAATAACGAAAATAATCTTATGATTTTCTTAAATAATAAAATAAATAATTTATTTCTTTTACTAGAATGTTGTCTCTTCTAATATTGACCAAATATGGCTTGAATTAGTGGTTTTAATTAAATCAAATAGTATTAAACATAAAATGATAAAATCTTAAGCCCAGGAACTTTAGACTAGCCAAGCCAATAAGATCACAACTACATTTTACATTATAAAATGCTCCAAGACCAATGTAACAAAGACAACTTTACATAGTCAACTGTAAAATGCGTCTTAATTTATATAAGCACCATAACTTCAGACTTTTTGTAAAAACTGGTACCAGATACCCACCCTCTGCACCATGTTTACAATAGAAGGTTTAGATAAGGCCCCATTGTAGTTCAAACAGCCCTCGGACTGGAGGAGAACCTCTTGTCGAAACTCACTTCTCTAAAAAGAAATGTATACAAAATATTATAACTTGGATATTTCAATATAATTCTATGTTTCCACTTGAGAATAACAAAAGTAATTCAATATACTAATATAACAACCGAACATATACCATTAAAGGAAACAAGCATCACACTTACATCTATGGTGTTTGTGTCAGGATTTTCTTCAGCTGAAAAGAAAATAAGATATGATTATTATGAAATATAGTAAGTCATTAATTTTTCCTTCCCGTCAATACCATGCATTCAATGTTATCTTATAAACAAAATTAGTTAATTTCTGCTTTATACAATAAGGATGTCAGTATGGCAAATTCCTCACATAACATTGCTTCATTTTAAGCCCTTTTCGCAGTATAGATGTATACTATAGTGCTACAGTCTGTACTGAAACAATAAGAAAGATTGACAATTCAACAGCTACGTAATCAAATAAGAGTCACCTTAACCTTTTAGCAACAGCTACTGAACTGAACTAAACTGCTAGTAACTGGTGCACTTGTGAAATGGAATTAAATCCCCCTGTGGTGCAAATATATGTTATATTATCTCTCAATGAGTACTGGTACAGACTGTATTGCTAAAATATACTCCTCAAAGTGGAAAGGACCTTGATTTTGCTACCTTCTGGCACAACAGCCGTTTGTGATGAAATCATATAATCATCATCATCATCTTCATCATCATCATCATCATCAGCACCAAACCCAGTGGAGGGGAGGATCCTGACTTGGCCACTAGAAGCACACAAAACATGTCTCTAAGGAGGCCTTCTTTAACTGTGCGCATGGAAAATAACCTCCCAATTTTCTGCATGTAAGCGTTAGTGAAAGTGCAGATTTTTTTTACAACAGTTATTCAAAGTTGTCTTGTAAAAGATCTTTTGTGCTTTTGTATCTATGCGTTGTTTGATCCCGATCAGATACCATAAACTGTCATTCTGAAAGTCATTTTAATCTTTCTTTTTTCTTTTCACTTTAATGTAAATGGTATTTCACTTTTTTTTTTTGAAGCAATGGATTTACTAGGTGAGTTAAAATACCTTTTTTCAGGATAGGAGACAAAAGCAATACAGGACTGAGGTGCATGATATAATTAAAATGCATCATGCCAAATTTTAAAGAAACTAGAAGCCAACAACTTCTCATTTTAAGGCAAAACCAATTAAGAAATAAAAGCAAATCTGAAGTCTTTATGGGCTGTGCAATATTCAAATGAACATTTGATTTATTTATTCAAAAATCTCATTTCAGAGTGGTTTTTTTTAATATCTAGAATATAAACAGGTCCCCTGTTGAAGGCTTCTAATGATGCACTATAGCATTCAGCGATAGCAAAATTAACATTTCTAAACATCATCCAAAGGATGATAATATTAGAAGGCAGAGTTCACAGCTTGATCTCATGTTTGTTTACATAATATCAGCTGAGTCACGCTGGGCCATGTCCAGCAGGTGTCAGGGTGCAGTTGACCCGAGGTTGTTAGCCAAACTATTTATGCCCTGACAGTGACAACCTGACAACATAGGATTTGTATCTTCTATAACGCATCTGCATCCCTTGGTTTATATTTTGGTAGAATTTATCGCTGTCAGTTGTGAGTTTTGCGGTACTATTTTATATACCTTCGAATTAAATATGACAAAATGGTGGCCAAATCAGGGTCTTCCTCTCGTCCTCCTGCGGCTGAAGACGAATCGCCATCGCCTACCGCACCTGATCTTTGTCCTGCATTTCGATCAGACATTCTACGTCGACCGGAGGAATTCTGCGAGCCCATACAATCGAAGTTGCTGCATTTAGCTCCTATTTTTGCGCGACCCCTAGTGCCTCGAACAACGATTTTCTTTACATAAACACAGCTGACCTGTATTTTGATCCTGTCTGTGGTACGGACTGACAAAAATGGAGCAGTTTAATTGGACGTCATTGGTGTGCATCGTTCCGTGACGAGCATTACCTAGCCCCAGTCTGAGGGTTTTAATTCCAAAAATATATCAAAGATAAAAATGCTTTTAAACTCTGGTTGCATGTTGGGACAGAATTGCTTATATATGTTGTTTAACAATTTGCTGCGGTATTTACCAAAATGGCAGCGCCCTGCTGTCAACGCTAGGCCACTGACGCTAGGCAGTGTAAAGTCGTAAGACGGTATCAATATCAGGGTGGGGTATCAGAAATCGTTGTTGACGTGTATGGCATGTAGAAAAAGGTTAACGAGTAGGTAAGTCTTAGCTCTGTGCACTTGCTATACCCATGGGTTTTAAATAAACAATATTTTATTCAGTTTTGTTTTAGTTATTTGAGTTTTATATTTAACGTTACTACATGTAAGTACTAATTTTAGTTTAAATTCAGTGTTACATGGTTTCGGACATTTCATCATCGCCACTTTACCAATGGATATAAACTATACATAATGATGGTGAACGTAAGACGAAGCTGGTATTGTTCTTATCTATAATTTCAGAACATATTGTATGGTTCATGGCTTTATCTTTCACTGTAATTAAATATAGGAGAATACTATTACCCCTGTATTGAGATAATGAGAAAAGATCACAAGCTTAACTCATTTCAGATTGATGTCATTGATGATAAACAATTGAGGCACCTTGATCTTTATTGGTATTCTTGAAGTGTCGCCAAAAATGATAAAAGCTCCCCCCCCCCCCCACACACACACACACACAAAAAATATGACTGCACAAATGACAAATGACGGTTTATTTATATTCATATGTTTAAGGTTACAGCACAATGTAGAGTTCTTGCTGAACTTGGCAAACTTTATGAAAAAATCACAGTTGTTGAATCAATGTACACGTTGGATACATTTATTGTGAAATATTCTAAACTGAGCATTATTGTTCAATGTGCATGAAGATGACATGAAATTTTTATGTACATGAGACACAAAGTTGCATTGAACAGCAAATGCTGATTAGAAAAAAATGCCTACTACATTATGGAATTTTGTTTTATTTATTTATTTATTTTTTTTTGTATTGATGAATATGCAGCAACACTAAAAGTAACTTTTTAAACATCACCATTGAAAACATTGTTAGGGATTCTATGCAGTTTTGACTGAGTGACAGTATTGAATGGTATTTTAGTACTTTTGTAAAAACTACCAAGTAAAATTGAATTATGTAAGTCATTCAATGATCCGAATATGCACCAGAAGTTTAATACAATGATTACATAAAAATCTGATATACTGTAGACAAGATGCGATATTTGTGTTTCATCAAAAGTTTTAAAAGTAGTTAAACATACAAAATGTGTGATACAAGTGGACTCTAAGTCAAATATTTTTCTTTTTTTGTTCTTGGATGTACAGCAAATACTAAACAAAATGTTGTAGAAAGTGAAAGTGGTCTTTTATGGGCATGCTACAATCAATTAAGTTCCATTTCCAGTGTTTTTTGGATTACCATTTGATGCCCTGTGGACTTGACTTGAACTGCCTTGACTTGACTCATAAACAGGGTTATTTTCCACAAACTGTTGAGCACTTTCTGCTTGCCCCTCATATACAGGGTTTTGAAACACGGTTTCTGTCTCTGGTTGATTGTTATTACTTTCCTCAGTCTCTGCAGGATTAGAATCAGAAGGAATGTTAGCTTCTTCAGTGTTGGTGTTCTGATGCATGACCTCTGAGTCTGCCACCATAGTGTTGAGGTGGTTATCAGTTTCAGAATTAAGCAATGACAGGATAGGGAGGGAGGAATCTCCTGTCGCATTGCTATCAAATTTTTGTCCAATAGGCTGTGCACCAAATAAGTGAAAATGCTCTTTCTTTTCACTGGTCTGAGACATTGTTGTCTTTCTAAAAGTCCATACTGTGTAAATGAGGACAGCTCCAAGGATGAAAAATAATGATACAGCAACAGCAATAATACCAACGCTGGTATCCACAGCATCAGTTACAGCACGCCCTGCCATAATGTTGCAGTTTGCAACCTCCCACTGTTGGAGAGAGGACACTGGTCGACCTTTTACATAGGCTGGGGATGCACAGTAGGGTTTTCCATATACCAAATTGCTGTTCTCTTTCAGCCTCTCCCATAGTGGACGTATGTAGCAGTCGCAAAGCCATGGATTCCCAGTGAAGATCACTTTGATTTGTCTCCGTTTTAAAGCGTCTGCATCCTGACGTGTCAACTTGGTGAGGTTGTTGTACCGCAGGTCTAATGTTTCCAAATTGGGCATGGCTGTCAGGTTGTGTAGAAAATTTGGAATGTCACTGATGCCTGTTTGTGACAAGTCCAAGTACTCCAGATTGTGCAGAACTTGGAGGTTTTCGAAATCGAACTCTTTCAGTGGATTTCCACTGATGTCCAACTTTTCAAGAGTCTGACTTTGATGGAGTAAAATGTCCATAGAAATGTTCTGAATTCTGTTATTTTCAAGGTTTAAAACTTCAAGAGTAGGCAGGTTGGAAAACAGATTATTCTCAATTTGTGTGAGTAAATTTCCCGACAAAACCAGCGTTGTCAGATCTACGAGGTCATGAAATGGCGGTGAAGTCATGTCATTGTGTAGTCTGTTATAACTCAGGTCCAGTACCTTCAAGTTATCAAGTCCTTGAAAGGCCTTTGGTTCAATGTAGAAGACAGAACTGTTGGTGATCGTTAGTCTTTGAAGTTCTTTCAGATTTTGAAAAGCATAGTTTTTTACAGGGTGGATAATATCCAGCGTTCCTCCAGTGTTCCTCAATTCCAACTCTTTGAGGTTGAATAATGGCGGCGGAAAAAGACTTTGCTGCAATGCTGCCTGTCTGGTTTGCATTGGGTTCAAGAACTGGACTTGTAGCACCCTGGTGGCATTAGGGATTGAGTCTGGGATGGTGAGATCTGTTTTGTTGAATACACAGGTGACATTGTTGTTGATTGTGTTACAATTGCATTCAGCGGGACAAGTGGACTCTGCCACTGTGGTATATAGGAGGAGAATAAGGATGAGTGGGAAGTTTGAGTACATGAGGCAGCCTGAAAATATTGAGAGGAAAAGTTCAACACTTAAATACAAACAAATTAATAAAAAAAAAAAAAACATTTTGTCAAATAATAAATAAATGTGAAGCTTATGGAAATTGATTTAGTAGGTTTGAAATAATTGCATTTTTTTTATAAGTATAGCACTTTTAAAAATGACTCTATCAAGTGTAATGGAAATGGAGGGACTTCATATAATACTGACAGTGTAATTCCTGTGATTAATGACCAATTATCATATATGAAAACACACATGTATGCAACCCATATATATGCAAAATGCTACCTGCAGAAAGACATTAAATCATTAGAGGCTCCCATTAGCCCTGCAGTGACAGCACAGAGCAGCCAGCCATTGGCCCTCGCATAGATGTGGCTTAAAATTCACAAGTACATGTAAGTGTAAAACTCTAAATTGTTTTCCTTCTCTGCTGGATAGAAAGTGACTTTTAGTTTAGAATATATACAATTGCTTAGTCTTGGTTGCAGTTTGCCCTGCAGTGATGACACCCGATTTGGGAAGAGAAATATTTCAGTAGTTTTCAATTTCCCTATTGCTGATGTGCCACTGTGCGGAAGGTCTGTTAGCAAAGAGGAAAGGCCAGAAAAGGTTCTCTATAAAGTTTTATGCCATATTTCAAGTTGGGTCAACCATGAGGGTAAAAGTTAGCTTTTTTTCAGAATAAAGACCCCCCCCCTCCCTTTGAAATTGCTGGCCACAGGCATGCATACTTAGGTTTTAGTTTGCTCTTCAGACATGTATTTCACAACCAGTGACTGAATATATCAGAAAGACATACATATTAAGAGTGAGAACATTTGCATTGTATTTGCCTATTGATTGAACTACAGCTGAAGCAGATTCATGACAGCAGATTATCGGAGTATGCAGAATTTAATTAAGAACTTAACAGATCGAGTTTGGTGATCCCACATAATGATTATTTGGTTGTTGCAGCATCACTGTTACTGTAAATTGAGCTTATTGTGGTGTTGTATAAAACCTAAGGCAAGGATAGCACATATTTATTGATATTGTGTTTATTCTGGAGAATCCAGGTTACAAAGAAGGGGGGAGGGTCTCCTGCCCCTCCCCCCTCCCAGCCACCACCACCACCACCACCACATTCTCCCTGTATCAGCTTGGGACATGACTTAAATTATCTGCATTGCATTTTTTATGCTATATCCTCACTATTAGAAGTAAACATAACAAGACTGTACACATGAGCACCCAGGCTTACATGTACATGCTCAAGCATGCACAACAGGCATGCACACACAAGCATGGGCACGCACAAACACGTGCATGAAATTGTCAATGATCAGCAGGCATTGTGCTCTCATGCTCAGTATAATATTTAGGTATAGCGGATGTGATACAATTCACTTGATTACGTTAGTGGTCGGACTGGACATAATGTGTTGTTCTCATGTTGTTTACAGTTTACCTGTAAGTTGTTTACAGTTTACTTGTAAGTTGTTTACATTTTGTGACCTGCCAGCCAGCTCACATATAGCAGATCATCCAACCCAAGTATTTTGTCAGAAAATTAGCTAATTTCCCTTCAGAACTCTGCCATTCTAGATAGATCTTCTTTAGAGTTACTCAATAGCACACATCACATTCCTCTTGTGAGGACAGATATATCTTAAATCATTACCTTGTCAAGTTGTAAATATTTCAGTTCTCTGGTGTGGTGGTGAATCTGCCCCATAGGTATGCAAGATGTGGAAAGGTATGATGGCAGTTCATAGCAGCGTGGGTGAACATTATCACCACACAATCACCATGAGAATTGAATTCACATTAAGGTTAAGTTAAAGGAAGTTAATTCTTATGGATTACATGTAGTTACTAGTACTTTATGATTCAATTTGAGGAAAATGTTCTTGGTTTTATCTGTGAATTTGCTCAGGTGGACATGGGGAATGTATATGAACTATTTGGAGGCACACTATCAGATAAAGGTTATTAACCCAAGCTCATCCCTTTTCTATCTTTTTTTCTATATATATCACAGAAAATGATAAGTCACAATCTAAAATGTTGCATTCAGTTTTGGCAGTTTTTTTTCCTTTTTTGATTTTTTGATTTGGAAATCTCTCTCTCTCTCTCTCTCTCTCTCTCTCTCTCTCTCTCTCTCTCTCTCTCTCATTTTTTCAAGTATTTCAAGTAGGAAATCTTTAAAGTAGCAAGTACACTGCTAAACTTTTGGTTTATTGTGTTCATAATTCCTACCTCAGTTGAAATCCTCTGACACATAGTAGCCTTATGATATCTTCTAAATACATTAAAAGGAACGACATGCACACGGCTTGTATTTTCAACTCACCTTTTAAAGATAAATGGTATCAAGTTACACAATGGTTTTAATACCACGGATCCCTCAGTTCTCTCTGTCCAAATATCCCAAACTTCTGTGTTCTGTTTGCTTCAGAATTCTTTGTAAGAATGAACACATACCAGTTGTGGGAGTATTTGAATGTGCTGATTATGCTCAGGCATAAAACTCTTGTGAAGAAACTGCTGTGAGCAGTAAGTTATGTGGCGTCCACCACTTGCTGACACTTAGCGTCCAAAGACACGATTTGAGCTTATTACATTGAATCAACTCCAGGCAGGCTTTGTTTGCTATGGGGCTTAAGACCAGGCATGGGAATTCTTGGTTTAAACACTCTTCGCTCATGGATTGATGGCAATTATATCACTTCGGTTTAAGCATTTACTCTTATGGGAATTGGTCATGAGAACTTACAGTATATTGGAAAAACAGTGAATGGGTGAAACCTTTAGGGATGTTTTTGTAACAAATGAAGCATTTGTTGGCAATGTATGACTGAAATGTGCCTTGTCTAAATAAAAAACCACTAAATTTTTCCCGAGTTGTAAAAAGAACCAAATTCAAGGTCATGGATGCCTGTCATTTCAAGAAATTGGTTTTCATTCATTCCAAACAAAATTTTTTAAAGTGATGCAGAAGAAGCATTAATTATACCTACAGTGTTAAGGATGAATAAGTGAAAAAGGTCAGTTTTCTCTGGACAGTCATTAAGAAAAAAAATGATAATTGGATACAGCTACGAAGTCCATTATTTCAAGGAATGTTTGTGCCAGTAAGTTGCATCCCGTAGCTCAAGTGATAATGTTTTGAGGAAGTGGTTTTGAGTTCTGAAAAGATGAATAAGTGAAATTGTGTAAAATATTTTAAAATTATAAATAATATTAAAAAGGTAAATGAGTTGAAAAGTGGAAATTTTTAAATGCATATGGGTAATTTTCTGGAATATCCAAGAGCAGAAACCCAACTTTACTCTTCTTGGCCTTTATCCCCACCTAATACAACTGGTGCTGCACATGTACGGGTCTGTAATTCTTTATTATGTTCAACCAATCCCCAAGTGAATGGGTTATTGTCCAAGGGCCTGCTGAGTTTTTATGATCATGTCCAATATTATTAAGACTCATACTTATCTCCACCTGGGGTTCAAATAAGGAATAATTGGGACTTCTTTTTTTCCCCTAATGAATGTAAGGTGTGTGATGAAGAGAATGTGCTGACACATGTTTCACACTCGGAGTGCTTCTCAGTGTATTACATCATGATGGTATGACCAAAACGACGCTGGCACATGTACATGTAACTATTTGCTTGTAAGTACAAATAACTGTTCATCAATCAGAAGGCAACAAATGTTTCATAACTATATATTCAATCCGAAAACCTGCGTTCCACACACACAGAGAGAAGGCATAATGGTCTGAGGGATCAGTCTTATTGACTTGTGAATAATACCAGCTTGAAGTATAGGAAATAATAATCTGATTGAAGGGCTTGAGTTGACATTTATAAGCTTCGGCTCTAGGTTTATGGACTCCGGTTGTTCTTTAGGCTTCATGGGGAGTTGCCAAGGATTGTAGTGATTATGCAACACCCACTAATGGTAATTCCTCTATTGGGGACCATTGACAATAAATTTTGTCGATCAAACTTATACATACCAACTCAACAGGACTCTCGCTGAATGCAATCAGAATAACAAACTAACATACCTTCTCTTGTTTCTAATATATACTCTTATAATCACCAGCCTTTCTATATTCTACTCAAGGATAGGAAGAGGCATATTAGTCTGTTAATCTGATCGCATTCAGCGAGATTCCCCATAGAGTTAATGCGCAGTAGCTCTTGCGACCTATAACTCATTCTAAACTGCCCATCAGAAAGTTATGCCTTGTTATGGCCTTGTTTTCTATTGAATAAAAATGCATGATACTTAACATTGCCATGAACTGTTCAATTGTAATTTCCATTTACCAGTTAATTTTGTTAAATAACAGTCTCTGTAGGCCATGGAAGATTTTTGACATGTTGTGATTTACTGATCCAATGATCTCTCTAAGATATTTTTTGAGTTTTGAGTATTTATCTTAGTTAATTGATGGTTAGGGAGGTCTAAGGCCATGAAAGTTCTTTGACCGCCATTTTGTAAGTTTTTGGTTCAATAAACTCTCCTGATCTTTTTAGTTGTGAGTATTTATCCTTGATGGTTAGGAAGATCGACAGTCTTTCTACGTTATTTAATTAAGTCCCCGAAGGGTTGTATATCATAGACTATGACAAGAACAATATTCATTATTTGCATTTATCATTCGAATTGGCAAAATTGGCATTTCCCATGGAAATATCAGGGTAATATGAGCTAATCCAATTGTAGCTGAAACATAGGACATCATACAGTTTCAGCCATAATATGGAACTCTGAATTGATCAACTGTGAATATTTATAACTTCATATTGGATGTTTTATTGCAGGTGTTGATGCAGTTAGTCAACTATACTGAGGAACTGAAACCTGAATGAAATACTCCAAGCTTCCGTAGCCCAGGCAGCAAGAATCAACTTCAACCATGAATTCTCACCATGGTGGCCGCGAGTCCAGCCCCCCAGTGGAACCTTTTCACACCCTCTGCGTACTGGAGTTTGTCACTGATGCTCCTCAAGCAGCCATAGAGTGGATGATCGCCAAGATCCACGCACAACGGACAGCAGGGGGCGCTGAACTGCAGGCATATTCTGTAGTAAACAGACACAACCAGGTTATTGACATGAGAAAGGTTTTCTAGCAGACCTGCACAATGTGAACAAGATGTGATAACTAAAAAAATAACATTAAGGCTAGGCTACCATACATATATAGCAAACCCTTTAAAACAGACAAACAGCAGTTCTGAAAATTTTTCAAACTGAAGGATTATTGTCGGACTATCAGTAAATTCAGAATGGCAGTTCTAAAAATTATTGTCCAAGTCCCTTGGACTGAATACGATTTAGTACCAGTTTTAGAAAAATGCTATCATTCATGGTCCATAGGACTGAGAATTTCATCATGTTCTAGACCCCATTCCCACAGATTTTAGATTGTTCTATCCCTGTGGGGAGTCTCACTAGATTACTGTCAGCTTAGCCAGCTTTAATGTCTGCCCGCCTATTAAAGCTGTAAGGGGGTAATTAACTACCGTGCGGGCTCGGCTGACAGCAATTTAGGGTGAACTCCCAGGGAGTTAGGTCAATCTAGATGGATCGATCTGAATCTGTGGGAGTGCAGTCTTAGACATCACCCATAGCCAAGCAATGTATTAAAGAGGCCATTTGCTTTAATTTCCAGGAGGTGATCCTCCATATTGGGGCCGGCACGGACCGTCTGCTGGAGGCGGCAGAGTTGATGCAGATCAAGAAGGAGGACAGTGCAGGGGTGCTGAGGGAGATTACCATTGCTGAGATTAGTCAGTTTAAGAAGTCAGGTTTGTACACTGGGTTACAGCTAGTTAGATTGGGTCTGTGGAATGTTGGGTTATTTAAGATGTGTGACAGACAGACAAACAGACTGGCAGACAGACAAACAGACGGACAAACAGACAGACGGACACTCTGTCAGATGGATTGTCAGAAAGACTGAGAGACAGAAAGACACTTTTATTTATTTATTTATTTTTCTTTTTTCATTTATCATTGTGCTATTAGAGCACAACTAAACAAGAATATTTATAAAATGATATCCGCAGAGTTTGAATGTTTAAAATCACCTTGAAACTTCACATGTGATATATCTGCTTTACATTATCCAGGAAGTGTTGGCAATAGGAAGGTAAACCTGGGTGACCATGTGTGATAGCCAGTTGATCAGTTGCTGTGATTTCTTTATCACTAAAATACCCCCTCTTGCAGATTTCACTGATTTTCAATTGCAGCCATTCTTACTGATGTGTGGTAGAATATCATCTTATTAACCTGCTGAGATGCACCAAATAGGCATACATATTTATTCTCTTTATCTTTGTTGAAATTTGGAATAGCCAATCTGCTTGAAGATTTTGTACTGTAGAAATTGTTATGTTCTTTCATTAACAAAATTCTCCTTTTCTATGAAAATTAACTCCTTTTCTATTAGTAAGTAAAGCATAAAAGCATATACTCGTACGTTTTGACACATCTTGTTTTAATCTGGTTATTATCATGTCTACATACCTTTCCAAACCTGTACAAAACCATACTTACATATTCAACCTTAGTCATGATTATCTAACCTGTGTCTATATTTCTTACTAATATTAGAGTAAAATAATACTAATGTTCCAAAAGTTGATTAGCTGCAATGTAAAACGTGGCAGTCTTGCTACTTTTTGGGTCAGCTTGCCCTCATAGCCTCTGTCTGGATTGGATTAGATTTCGCACAGGCGTCTCAGCTTACAGCTTGCATCCCACGATTTTCAGCATTCTGTCTCAGCCCATTTTAGGGCAGACTGTCACAACATTTGGGACAAATTTCAGGTTGCTGACAAATTCATAATCAAGAAAGCACAAGATTTACAGCAATGGCCTAGCTTTTAATGTCTACCCAACTTGCTTTTAAATTAGCTAAGATTATCTTTGCCCTGCTTTATATTTTATGGTAGAACTCTTTTTATTGTAAGTTTTCTTTAATTGGTAAGTCCAAATGGACTAAGGTTTTTGAAGTTGTATTGAGAAAACATCAAATTTTGCTTTGCTAATGCTCAGTTTTAATATCATCATATTGATTCTTATTTGTAGCACACATTTATTAAGTTTAAAATTGTTTCACTTCCTCTGAAAAGTGTTAATTTTTTTTCTCATTATTGAGGTAATTGAGAATGCCACTTTCTAACTGACAAGAAATGGACAGACATTTTGTAGATGTCCTCGACTTTTCAGTGAACTCATTTTATTGCTTTATTGCAGGGGATCTGGCAAATTTTCTGACTTTGGCTGAAAAGCAGCAGATCATCCTCCATGAACTGGAGAAGATCCGTGCCTCAGATTCAGACAAACATGTCCCAGGGTATTTGAAGAAAAAGTTGTACCCAGGACAGTCTATAGGTGAGGCCACACTGGGAATGGATTAGATGGGCCATAATAACACATTATAATTGTTAATGATCCTGCAACTGTTGAAAATTATTGTTTGTTTTGAGTTTTTGCTTTGAGAGAGAAAATAATACAGCTTTCTAATGGTTTTATTTTGCAAAATCAGAACATTACATTGTTTCTGCTAGCATATGTATAAGTTGTTTATAACAATCACAGTGATGAAAGAAATGCATGTATGTTCATGAGATGCATTCCTTGAATTTTTAGTAAGAAAACTACTGAATGATGCTGTAATACATAAACTATATCCCCTCCATGACAGAGATGTCCTGAAGAGGCTTGGAGAAGAGTGGTATAATAAGGTCAGCAAGCCTCAGCCCATAGGTAGGTCAACAAACAGCCCACAAGTAGGTCAACAAACCTCACCTTAAGCTCGTAGGTAGGTCAACAAACCTCACCTTGTAGGTAATGTAGGTCAAAATATCAAAATCCATTAGTAGTTTAACAAACCTCAGCCCAAAGGTAGGTTAACAAACCTTGCCATGTAGGTAGGTCAACAAACCTCAGTAGGTAGGTAGGTAGGTAGGTCGATATACCTCAGCCCATAGGTAGTTCAGCACACCTTAGGTCAAAGGTAGGACAACAGACCTCAGCTTGTAGGTAGGTCAAAATATCAAAGCCCATATGCAAGTCAACAAACCTCAGACTTGAAGTAAGTCAAAAGAACTTTGCTCTATACAAGCAATTGATCTATATCCCATATATAAGATAAATTTGAATGTACAATAGAAATTTCTAAAAGTATCATTTTTTTTACTTATTGAAATATATTAAATAGATACTATCATTGAACATCACTATCATTGTCATATTTTAACATAACTTTCTTTATTTTCCAGATGACATTCGTACCTACTTTGGAGAAACCATTGCAATGTACTTTGGTTTCCTTGGCTTTTACACTATGGCTCTTATCCCACCGGCCATTTTGGGTCTCATGTATTACTTTGTTGCCTGGCAGGACATAAATCGGCTGGCACTTTTTGCAGTGTTTAATGTAGTCTGGGCTACCATATTCTTACAAGTTTGGAAGAGGAAGGCCTCAGAATTCGCCTTCAAATGGGGAACTCTGGACAGAGTCCACTTTGAGGACTGCAGGGCAGCGTACTTTGGTAAAATGGGCATAAATAAGGTGACGGGCCGCCCCGAGCCTGTCTACCCAAAGTGGAAGCGTGTTTTAAGGTTCTATTGCATCACCATACCAATCATCCTTTCTTGTCTGCTGTTTGCGGTTGGGGTCATGCTGGTGTATTTCTGGTTTCAAATAGAGGCCGAGGTGTACCATGCCGAGTGGCAGACATTATGGACAAAGGCGCTGGTTCTGGTGCCGAGTCTCCTGTACAGTGTGGCCATTGTTGTGATGAACAGCATCTACAGAAAGATAGCAAAGGCGCTGAATGATTTTGGTAAGTGAAAGAGATGAGGAATAAGAGGTTGCTGTTAATAACAGTGTATAACAGTGTTATACTTATTTTGGAAAAAAATTCATTCTCAAGATTTGTAATGGATTTGATGATTCTGTGACTGACTAGAGTAAGGACTCATTCCCTTGAAACTATTGGTCTACGTACATATAGATCCATCCATCTCTGTGGGGATTCTCGCTGAATATTTAACAGATTAACACACCTCTTCTTGTAATTGATTTGCTCGTATGATCACCAGTTTTTCTGTATTCTACTTAATGCCAGGAGGAAGCATGTTACTCTGTTAAAATGACTGCATTCAGCGAGAGTCCCCATAGAGTTGGATTGATCTACGTAGACTGATAGTTTCAATGAGAATGAGGAGTAACAGGCCTACCCAGCTACCAGACTCGGCACTGAATGATACCAAATTCACCGGTAGATTGGACCACAATACCCGTTTTCAAGATGTGCGTCAGTGCTGTGTGTCAGCTGTCTGTGCTGTGGGTTGGCTTTTGAATTCAGTTATATCAGAATGCTTAGTAGTTTGGATAGTTCATAAGTAAGAAAAATTAGTTTTAGATCACAAGCTTATTAAAATCAGTATGTTGTTTTTTTTTTTTTTTTTTTTTTAAATTTTTTTCAGTGTGATGATTTTTTTTTTCAGAAAATCACAGACTCCAGTCTGCTTATGATAACCACCTGATTATCAAGCTAGTTTTGGTAAGACATTGTGTCATAACCTGTATACCCTGATAAAAGTTGTCATAGACTTTCTTCTAATTGGGGTATGCGACAGGGGCAGATTTAGGTCGTCTTCTGGGTCTTCTAGAAGACGGTCAGATTTTCGAGTTTACATTGAAGGGTATTTAATTTTTTTCTGTTGGAAGACAGTCAAAAATGGAGGATGGATCAATAAAGATGATTTGTAAGCCTGTCAGAAAATATCTCTGGATCTGCCCCTGTATGAAGTGGCCATTATTGGATATGTGAAGATCTCATTATGGGATATGTGAAGTTACCATTCTGTGATACTGTTTTTTAGTGCTGTCTTATTTGTCAAATGTGAAATAACACACCCAGATTAAAAAAAAAAAGACTTCACCCAGGCTAGTAATGCTACAAAGAAATTTAATGAGATGATTTAAAGAAATGTTTTCCAAAGTCTCATTGGTGTAACACTATGTAGTTTGCTTGTTGCTGTAATAAAACAGAAAGAAATTTTAACCATTTTCTGTCTTTTCCAGTTTGATTTTGTCAACTGTTTTGTGGTGTTGTTTTACATAGCTTTCTATATGCAAGATATTCCTAGACTCAGGAGTGTAAGTAAAATAATTTTTCTTTGATATATCTTCAGTTGGAAAAGAGAAGAATATAGATTTGAAGTTAATTTATATCACAAGTACATGTTCAAGTCTTAAGTTGAGATGATTTAAAAGAAATGCACTACTGTATGTGTTTTGTGCAGTAAAACAACACAGTCATGTTTTAAATATTATTTATAATCAAAGAGAAATTTAGGTGACGTGTTTAAGTTTCTGTTTCAGTCCTTGGCACTTCTGTTGATCATACAGCAAGTAATAGGACAAATTCAGGAATCCCTCCTTCCATATTTGATGTTCAGGTAGAACAGTATTCTTATCTAAGATGTCAGAATGTGATGGAGCATCATTTTTTAACCTGCCATGTTATCACTGGAATGTTCCATTGTAATGTAATAGTGTCAGATAAATAGTGATGATTTTGGAACTCGGACATTCTTAGCTAATATAGTGGTAACTATTTTGACTACAAAATCAAAACCAATGAATAAAAATTAATTTATTAAATGCTTAAATTTGTGGATAACACTCCTGGACCAGCAAATTCTGGTCGCCAGTAAAAAAAAGTTATATCTGTGAAACTGTTTAAACCACCTTTTATGTGGTTAAAATCAGTTGAGCTATTGATTGTATAAGTAAATTTGTTGCCACTTTTCATTGATAATTAATTTCGTAACTTCATCTCTAGTATTGTTTCATTCCACAATTAGGTACAAGTCCAATAAAATGGACAAAGCTGAGGAGAGAAGAGAGAGCCTCGTAGATAAAGATGCCAAAGTCGACAGTGATGAAAGCAGTCATGTGACTGATATCATCAGCAAGGAGGTCAGAAAGCAGGCCGAGGTGGAGGGCGAGATGGAAACCTACGAAGTAAGCAGAAAATAAAACTCAAGAGAGGAAAAAATTTAAAATTGAAAAATGTTTTGGCCTGTTGAAATGTCAGTTTTGATATGTTTAGTTAATACAGATTTTTGTGTAAGTGTGTGGTTTACTATTGATAAATGACAGAAAATAGAACATGTAATATTTTCTTTACTTTGTTGTATGACATTTCAGTTTTCTGGAAAAAAGAGAGAATAGTTTGGAGAACAGTTAACTTTGGTTTTGATATTAACAATAGAAAATTTATGTATCTTTTTCGATTTCAGAAAAAAATGTTTTGTTCAAATGTCAGTTTTGATTTGCTAACTTGAAATAGATTTTTGTATAAATGTGTGCTTTACTCATAAACGATAGAAAATATTTTTTTCACTTTTTTGTATGAATTATGAGTTTGGTTCACCCCTCAAATAAGAACAGAATAAAGCTGGACTAGTGTCACAATATTTACTTTGCTATTGCTGTGAGCAGTACAAATTTAGCTTAAGATTCAAATTGAATCTATTTCATATTCAGGGCACCATGGATGACTACCTGGAGATGTTTATTCAGTTTGGCTACGTGGTGCTGTTCTCTTCCGCCTATCCTCTTGCAGCAGTCTGGGCCTTCATCAACAATGTCACCGAGATAAGAACAGACTCGTTCAAACTCTGCAAAGTGTTTCAGCGTCCTTTCTCTCAACCCACCGCCAGTATTGGTGCATGGCAGGTACGTGACAGTTTAGGGGAAGATGGACAGTTTATTATTAATATTATTGTTTTCTTTATCTTTATTCTTGTCTTCGGTATTTTTCCTTTTTTAATATTTTTGAATAACCTTAATTTAAGCATTTCAGTTTGTAACAGTTTTATAATAATATGTTCGAATATACTGAATTAACTTCTTAAGCTATCAGTTTGTGGATTTTTGTCCTTATTTTTACCCTTTTTTGATAGCCTAAATAAATTTAAGTATCTCAATTTGTATCAGTTTTTCAAGAATATTCCTGTGATTCACTTATTCTGTAATCCCTCCCACCTGCCATGTGTTATACAGATTGCCTTCCAACTGATGGGGATAATAGCTGTGATGACCAACTGTGCCCTAGTGGCCCTGTCCCTGCATAACCAAGGTCTGCTGCCAAAGTGGGACACTGCTGACTTGGTGTTATTGTTTGTAGGAGGCGAGGTATGTGGAAAGTAGATTTTGTCATATTTTGTTGAAATGTCTGTTCAGCCAAATTTGCTTTGCGCTGTAATCATGTCTCAAATGTTCTTGTTGTTGTCACTGTAATCCATGGTGATGACTTAGAATTACAATTGGTGTAGAAGCCATGAGCGCACACACACGCGCACAAAGGCGCAGAGTATACAAGATATATAAGGTAAATTTCTCATTGTTTGTTAACTTTACCATGTGATTCTTTCCAGCACTTAGTGTTGGCCCTGACACAAGTATTAGGCGCCATGGTCCCAGATCTGCCAAGGACTGTCAGGACAGAGATGGCCCGGATCGAGTTCCAGGCTAGACAGGCATGGAGGAATGAGGTAGGTTCCCTATGTTCAGTACAGATGTGTGGAGGAATGGGGTAGGTTCCCTGTGTTCAGTACAGACAGGCGTGGAGGAGAGAGGTAGGTTCCCTGTGTGTTCAGTACAGACAAACATGGAGGTATGAGGTAGGTTACTTATGTTTAGTACAGACAGGCATGGAGGAATAAGGTAGGTTCCCTATGTTCAGTACAGACAGGTGTGGAGGAATGAGGTAGGTTCCCTGTGTTCAGTAGAGATGTGTGGAGGAATGAGGTAGGTTCCCTATGTTCAGTACAGACGTGTGGAGGAATGAGGTAGGTTCCCTGTGTTCAGTACAGACAGGGGCGGAGGAATAAGGTAGGTTCCGTGTTCAGTACAGACAGGGGCGGAGGAATAAGGTAGGTTCCCTGTGTTCAGTACAGACAGGGGCAGAGGAATAAGGTAGGCTTCCTGTGTTCAGTACAGAGAGGCATGGAAGAATGATGTATGTTCCCTCATGAAACTTTTATTTGTGTGTTTATTTTAATGTGTTAAAACAGATTTTGTTAAAACAGATTCTAAATACATTGAATCAACAAGAGGAGTGGATGGAGATGTATGGAAAATCTGGAGTCAAATTTTGATTCAGCTTTTGTTTAAAATGTGTACTTTTATAAACAGATTCAGAAGTAAAATTGAATTACAAACAGAAGTTCTAGAGTTACATTGTTTATTTATAGAGGAGCCAAGCTGCCAGAACCCACCGAGTGAAGTTAAGGCGAGCAGTTTCTTTATTAAATGCAACGCCAATTTCAATGCCACCCCTTGCAGACAGTAAAGTAGATGGCACTACTATGCAACACAGGACCACCAATGTTTGAAGAAGAAAACAAATTTTTTTTTGGTTTTATTTGATGTTCTTATTTATTATTTTTTTTGGAGAAACTTTATTTACAAGTTTCATGTCAGTTTTTTGTTGTTTTCACTGCCAAATATGATGAAACATTAAAATAAGTAGTTTTATTCAAAGATATTGTCAAAATAAGTAACATTGACATGTGGGATTCATCTTAGATACAGATATTATGGGCTAACTCAAGGCAGCTTCCTAGTGATATTTAAACATTCAAGTAATAATGCATGATATTTTTTGCTTACATTTTAATTTCAGTTGGTGTAAGTGTATGGTGCTTATAATTTACAAACATGATTTTATTTTCTAAATTATAATTGGACAAATTGTCTTTTGTTAAGTATAGCTGGTCACAATTTATTATATAATTTTTCTTTATATCTGATATAGGAAATTATATTATTAGTTTATATATGCTTATGACAAAGTATCAACCGTAACAAAGTAGCAGAACTGTGATGGTCAAGAAATTCTCGTCAAGTTACTCTTGCAGACAATAATTGTTCAACAAACCAGACATGTTATTTCCTTTCACATTTTGTCAGCATTCTTGTATAATTAATGACTTTAAAATGGAAATCATTCCAGCTGCCTTGTTGAAGTGAAATTTCCTGGTGTTGGCTTTGAAGTTCAAATGCTCTAGAGACTCTTTACAAAAATGCACAGAATTGAAAAAAATTTGTGATTGATTTATTCCACCGTGTGCTTTTCTTGCGTTCCGATTCACGTCTTGTCAGTTTATGTAGTTAAGCAGCAAGTATAATTTGTCTTCCAGTTTGAGCATTTTTCTCTCGCCTTCATGAGTTAGATATGAATAAACTGCATTAACTGCAAACTTCATCACCTTAAAGTTGACACTTTTAATCCTGTCCCAATCTGTGAAAGGTGTTGACAGTTAAAGGACCAATTTGTAACAGAAATATGGATCTTCTAGTGACAAATATTTGGAGGTTGATTGGGTGTAACAGGCATGTACATTTCTTATAATCAAGTAATATATCAACACATTTTAAGTTATTCTCCCCCCCCAACTTTACATGTCAGTATCAGTCATTCAACTCTGTGTCGATATGACTTTAATCTACATTATTTATTAAACATCTTATCATCATGTAAGTTTTTGATGGGTTTTTCTTCCAAGGAATCCACAAGACATGAAAATCATTTCTGGACATTTTGTACAAGAATGGGGTTTTCTAATGCTCTTCAGTTCAATTCAACTTATGATACATACATAAAGAGAGAAGGAATAAAACATACAACAGATATCTTATATATAAAAGAAACAGTTTAATGGGTCACACAAGTCCATGCCATGTCAGTATTAATGTACAGAAATGACCTGCAGCAGACTCTGACAACTGTCAACTACGTGGAGAAAGTTCATAAATTAAACTTTGCTTTAATATAAAACAAAACACACACACACGAGGCATGCAAGTGTGGAATCTTCAGCTTCCAACACCACTGGTCATTGCAGACCACGTCTAGGCCGGCTAGACTGGACACAATACCTTACAAACTGGACACAGCAATGGTAATAATATTAATAATGGTCAGATGCTATTATGTACACAAATTCATTTCACATTTCATAATGCCACTGCTGTGTTTTAAAATGTCTTTACGTTTGACAGTTTGCTTCACATTAACAGATCACAGTATTACTAATACCTATCTACATACATGACTGTTTTATGTCCTGCAACTTTATCTTAAAATATATAGAACTGTATATATATGTGTCAGTGTTAATGACTCCCAACTCATAATGGGACACATACATTTTTGTTTATGTATATAAAAACCTTATGCTACTTACAAATAAAAAGAAATATATGAACCTAATGCAATTAACAGAGAACAGATCAATTAAATTCCATGACATGTGCCCGATGCCTGATGAAACTTCAAAAATCATGAAATATTCTGACAGCATCACACACACATTGTTTAAAATACTAATTTCCTAGATGTCGTCAAAACACATATAACGACATCTGAACATTTATTAATTGCTGAAGATGAGTAAGATGTTCAAAAGACTGAACTATGAACAAAGTCTGTTCTTTGACAAAGGCGGAAATTATATTTCTCAAGCTGGCATGTTCAGCAGTAAAATGATATGAAATATCCTTTTTTTTCCACAATAAGTTCGCACCTAAGAAGGCTGGAACTTTTGTACTCATCATTAAATTGGCATGTCAAGTATATAAAAAAAAAAAAAAAACTCATCTTGGGATGCAACTGATAAACATTGCTTGAAGTTTCAAGGACATTTAGAAACTTCAAAAGAGAAGATGAGAAACTTACACAAGGTACCTGATAACTTAGTTCAGGAAAACTTGTAAAGACAAAATTTTGCATGTCTTGCCAAACCACAGTGTCCAAAATCTGAAAGCAAAGCATTACAAAAGTCAAAACTGATCTATGTTTTCCAGATTTTTCTGATAAATCCCATCCTCCTTTCCAGCAACTGTAAGGTAAAAAAGGCATGAGAGGATCTAATACTAAATGGCAACTTATCAACTAAATTTGTACTCTAATTTTTTCACACTAATCCTTACTCTTGCCAATAAAACTATGCTGCAAATGAATATTTCTACATATGAAACATGAACTTTGGTCAGGACTTTCCAGAGAAAATATGTTGAAGTCTCCATCCATGCTTCAGGCTACATTATTTATCAGTAACAATAGCACAAAGTGGGATGCCCTCCCTTTCCCTTATTTTTTAAAACAAAACACAACATTTAGTCACAGGCTTTTTCACCGAGATGCCACCTTTACTCTCAGTTGTCCCTGCATTCAGGACCATTTTGTCTCTTAGTCCATTACTGTTTATATCCACTTTCACTTTTTCTTTTGAGCGTCTTTTCACCTGACTGTTGTTCCTGAGGGAGCAGTCATTTGAGCAGATGGACCCATTGTCTTCCTTTAAGCTCCCCTCCCTGCTCAGACGCTCGTAAATGTCACTGAATTCCCGAGAAATCACATGAATAATCCTGGCGTTAATCTTGTGCCCCTTGTCGACCTCGTCACGACTAGTCCTTGGGGTACCCGCGTTGGAATCGACCACATACTTACTGCTCCTGCTGGTTAAGCTACTACTGAGGCTGAGGTTAGAGATGTTGGACGCCAGACTAAGGTTGCTGGACTTTCGTATGTGATGGGCACCATTAGCTGCTGCTTTAACAGGTAAAGACTGGTCGGAGTCGGCCCCAGATTGTTCAGGTATGTTGTCCAAGTTGTGATTGTTTTTTGTTCCACCTGCAGCCTGTTGCTGCTTCCCAGCCTCACTTACTGAGGGCTTTCCCTGAGCAGCTTGTTTGGGCTGTTCAGGGATGTCTGTCAGAGTGGCAGGCCCATGCTCAGCTCGTTTGCTTCCACTTTTAGAATTTTTGGAGCCCTTTGAACTACTAGAACTGCCACCACCTTTGTCCTTGCCTCCTTTCCTGTCAGAATCCCTACGGTCCCTTCTAGGGTTGCCCCCTCCTTTTCCCCCTGGTCCAGATGCACTTCCATGGCCCCCAGGGCCTCCCCCAAACCCCCCAGGGCCGTCTGTATCACTGGAGGTATCACTGCTGTCCTTCCGGGGAAACCTGTGCTTCAGCTTCTCTTTCCTCTTTTTCGAATCTGGGTCATCTGTGTCACTGGCGTCAGAGCTACTGCAGCTGGTTCCCCTCTGGCCACTGCCTCGCCTCTTTTTCATTCGGCCCAGTTTGCGCAGCAGCTCTGGCGAGGCCAGCGGGTGGTGGTGGTGTTGTGTGTTGTAGACACGCGGCCGAGAACTGTCTGACGGCTGAATTAGATCGTCATCCCCATCAGACTCTCCCTCCTCAAATATCTGGTTGAGGAGCTGCGGGGAACTGCTAACAGACCTCAGTGTGGGCCTGCTGGTGACAGGGCGACGCAGAGCTAGAGCCTTGCGACTGAGACTGGTTTCGCTTCCGCTCCGGGAATCAGAATCACTGGACACCTCATCCAGAGACTTTGTCATTTTCACTTCATAATTCTTATCAAAGTCCACGTCCATGGGTTCCACCCCACCCATTGCCAGTTTCTCCGACATTTCCGTCTCTGATTCTTCTTCTCCAGACTCCTCCCGAATCAGGCTAAACTTCCTCCTCTCGCCTGGACCAGCGGTGGAGGTGAAGGTCAAAGGTGAGGGGGCGTGGGCCGTGATGGGGGACACCAAGGAGTCGACCAGCTGTGCAGACTTAAACATATCGGCCTGGGTCACATGGGACTCCTGGATCCTGGAATACAGAGAGATACTATTACACACAGAACTGAGCCAATTTCAATAGATCATCTCCGTGAAGAAGACTACTTATAAGAAAGGCTTGAATATTACATGTCATTATAGCAATATATTAATATTTGGCCATACACTTTGGAAAAAATAAATGAGAACAAATATTTTTATTAATATATAATTATTATTTATATAATTATTAATATCATCCATGTAATACATTAGGTTTTATGGTGAAGTTCTTTTGTGTAAATATACAGATGTCTTTTATTCTAAATTAGAGAAATGCTTATTAAAAATCACATCTAATACATCTTATCACAGTATTCCCTCGTGTAACTCATGGCAAGGAAGCATGGTCAATGTGGAAGATGTAACAGAACAATGACAACCACCCTAGAGCTGAGCTGGCAATCAATAACAGATCTCATAAGCTGCAGTGGCATGCAATGGAGATTATGATCACGACGTGTGTGTGTGTGTGTTATCAGCATTACAAACTGATTGCTATGATCACTCTGCTCCAATACCCATCACATTAAATTGAAATTATTAAATATCAGCTTATGCAAGAAAAAAGTAATAATAATAATAATAATAATAATAAAAATAAGGATAATTTTTTGTTCTGATAAAGTTAATTTCAAAAACATTTCCTCAATTATTAATCACTGCATTGTTGCAATAAGACTTATTTGCCTTAACAAAAAATACACACATAACAGCCTTCAAGCTATGAACATTTAGGATTGCATAATTCATAGCAGTTGCATGTTTTGCATTTTGATGCATTTCCCGTGATTGCTCTGCCTGTATGACAAAGTGTAAGTGTAACATGAGAATACTCTAAAATAGACAATAAATAGGTGTCAGACAAATGATCCTGCAATAAGAAGCATCAGTGTGTACTTGACTGATACTCGTCAGGCAAAGACAGCGATACAAAACACTCAAAGAGCCACATATCCGCCTATAATGCAAAAAAAAGTAACAATAAGTTATAAAACATCCAATAATCTCCGTGCTAACACAAATCCTGTGCATTGATGGCGACAGTGCAACAACAATGTAACAAACATTCCCACATTGTATATATATCCATCCATTATGAAACAATCATGCCCCAATACTGCTATGCCTACCCTCGTCTCGTTTGTAATAGTGGATCAAACTTAAAGTCACATTCATGGGAGATGTTACCAGACATGATTTTAGGTTATAAAAGAAAGGAGGAGAAATGGCTTAGTGGCCTCAAGACCAGATGGTAGTGGCAGTGGGATGGGGGGAGAGAGGATGCTAAAAGCAGAAAACTGCAAAGAAAAAATTGGATTGGTGGGTGGGGCAGGTTTGGGGGTGGGAGTGGGGGGGGGTGGTGGTGGGAGTGGGGGGGGGGTCATGTCTGTGCTACATATCCACCCCTGTCATGCAGTGAATAAAGACCTGTGCATTACCACATGAGTTGTTTGTCCATAAAATCAGGAAAACACTAAAACTAATCGCTATGTACTCAGATGCCCTTCTATTACTAACGAGGATTAAATATATAAAAATCAACATCTCTGTGCCACTCCATGGTTATCAACCAAACACTTGACATTTTCAGCGATATGAAAAAAGGGGAAATTTGGCAGCTATGCTTGAAATGATCATTATTTAGATAGCGTGATCAAATTGAAACACAAATGATAAAATAAGACTCGAATGTAATTTTGGTACAAAAATTACACATACACACTTGCATGCAAAAAGCTAATCCACACAACAAATAAATTTATACAGCTTCCCCCCCCCCCCCCCCACCC